AAAAAAAAAAAAAAAAAAAAAAAAGCAAGAAATGTGTTTTGCCGGGTGATCGATGTCAGAACTTTAATTATTTCTAGTTTATTAATTGCATTTCATGTACTCTTGTTTTTTTTTTCTCTTTTGCTATATCAATTTAAATACATAGGCATATATTTAAATGATAGGTCTTTGCCAAAGTTATCTCTGATTATGGAGAGTTCAATTAGAGGTTTCAGTTTTTCTCCTCCAACATCGAAGTCATTTTCTGACAACCAGATATGCTGTTCATCCAAAGGAGATCTTGTTTTGGTATAAGCATATTTTTTTACTTGTACAAATTTCTTTAGGTGTTTTTGATTTTGAACTAGCTCAACTTCCATTTTCAGGTGAATGGTGACCAAGAAATTTTTGCTGTCTCACTGTTGGCCCAAAGGAATATTTTTAGGTATATTAACTATATATAACATATGGCTAGAGATTGTCATTGTGAATCTTGTTATCTATCTTTTGCTTCTCTACGGAGAACTACTTGTCTATTGGAAATAATATTCCTGACAGCAGAAATGAGAAGTGGTATTAATATTCCAGATTAGTAGCCTCAATTTTACATTTTGATTGGCTTGTAGGCTTTTGGACTCTATCAGCTGCATCTACAGTAAAGAAATGATGCTGTCACAAGAAGAGCTTGTCCCTGGCCCAGTCATTCATAAGGAAAAGAAAAAGGTAAGTAGTAGTAGTTTTTAATAGCTTTAAGTAAATAACCATGATCTTTGTAAAAAATGTGTTTGGTCTTGTTTTTGGGCTTCCCAGGGTATATTCAGCTCTGTTATTAAAGATTTTACTGGCAGTAAAGAAAAGCATGCTCCCATCATGGAAACAGAAGATTCTAAAGAAAGTATCCAGGAACTCTCAGCTATCTTTTCAAATGAAAATTTTCCATGTAATGCTGACAACAATGATAATCTGACTGTTGATGAAGATGGGCCTGAATTAAACATAGGTAAGAAAGTGACTTAGATATGTGCTACGGAGTATACATGGACTTCAAGTAAGAAACTGAAAATTTGTGTATTTGTATTAATGAATATATGGTCTTTTTATTGGTGGCCTGATCCTGCTAGTCAGAAAACACAAATGCTATATAACATTGACTACTTACTTAAGGCAGTTCTGTTTTTGAAATCTTATGTACATTTTCTATCATATGGATAATTAAGTTTGAGAATCAATTTTTGGTGTCTCCTCTCCTCCTGTACAGATGACATTGACCTAGACGATCATGATGAAAAACGCAAAGATCAAAGTATATTGGGGGCTCTTAATAAGAAGAAATTGACTGGAAAGTTTCAGGCTCTAAAGGGTTAGTTACTTTAATTCTGTAAGACAATATTTATTCATGGTCATGAGTTTAGTTAAAAGATATTAGATATGAACCCGAACTACAGGGATTGGGATTGAAATAAGGTAATGATTGCTTTTATCACTCATTTTTATTATCGTTTGATTTATGACAAAATGAAAATATCATGCAAAAATAGTTTCTGTTCAGCATAAACAACAGAGATAATGCTTAATGTACTTGCCAGTAATGAGATTCTCTTACTTAAACTACTATATTCGTACGAAAAGTGAAAAATGCAATACCTCACGTGCTGTCACCCATTAAGAGACCAGTTAAAGCTTGGATCAGTTGGCCGTGTGCAGTTTTGCCAAAAGAAGAAAAACTAAACGGAAAACAAATACAAAACATCATTTCAAGGAAACACCAACCACCAATTAGTGTCCAAGACTTCTCAGAGTTAGACTTTTAGGCTACTTTCTTTTTCTGAATATGGGCATTGCATTCTCCCTGCATAAAGGAATAATTTTTTTATTTGGTACAAATTAGCCAAACCCCTTACCACTAGACCACAACTTTTATTGCCTTGTTTTTAACATAATGGTGGCTGGATTTCAAAATTGGAAGTATGAGGTATGCCTAAAATCATGATGGGGAAAATATCATAAAAATTCTTCCATGTTGCTTTAGTTTTAGATTTCTCTTTTTCTAAACATTACCTTCCTATAAAAACAAAACTGCATTCGTAAGTGAACTATAGCTATGAGAAAATAGGAGCATGAAACTCTTTTTAAATTTCAACTTTCAATAACCTCTGATCTCCTACATGCCACCTGAATATGTTGAAGATGATCAAAGTTCTTACCCTAAATTCTGCTACCTAAATTAGTTGAGTATCCAATATGCAGGAAGATTAGAAGAGATGAAGGGCAATATCCACAAAACATCAAGTAAGGAAGAGCAACAAGATGAGCAAGCTGGTGCAGTCGATCAAATTAAGAAGAAATATGGGTTTTCTTCTTCTTCCAATGTAATTATATAACAAATTATTCATTCAGTATCATGCTTAACTTGCATTCCATTATATTAAATTTCACTAGTAGCATCGATTGATCCTTGTTGCTTTACAGGTGAAAAATGTTACATAGGACCAAATCTGACTTCTCTTATCTGGGTCATATGTCAAAATAATCAGTTTTAAGATTGATTATCTAGGATACGAAATCTAATACTCATTATCTTCTGATTTGAGTTTTCCAATTAGCATACCATCTACTTAATGTTAAGAATTTTCAGGGCAGTTGCAGCACCTTAATGATCTTAAAAAATAAAACGTAGATGATATTCTAAAACCCACTCATCCTTTATGGAGAACATTATTAGTACAAACATCAATTTAATTTACATAATAACAACGATACCACATGATTGTAGTAATGTAGACTAGATATATTTTTTGCAATAGTTTAAAATTTCAAACATATAATTTGTTCTTCAATTTGATGCAACCAAGTTTGTACCGCAGGAAACAACTGTAGCTAAATTAGCAGTAAGCAAGCTGCAGGAGAACGTAAAAAAATTGCAGGTATATTCTATATTGAAGAAGTAGTAGATTCTGTGATGCTACATTTTCATCCTTAACAACTATTCATATAATATACATGCCAAATTTATGTCACATACAATTCCTCGTACTGACAGGGTATCAACACTCGAGCCACGGAAATGCAAGATAAAGCAAAATCATTTTCATCATTGGCAAACCAAGTGCTGCGAACTGCTGAACAAGATAGGCGGAACTCATAAGCACTTCCTGATCAGACCCTAAGTTATAAAAAGTCTTTTACCCGTTTGTTTGTGCGTTATGAATTTTTTTAGAGTGTACTTAAGCTTGTTCTTTATTTGTAATTATAGTTTGTTTTACACAGGAATTCTAAATTTTTTCAATTATGGGCTGATATTTCGAGATTGTAAATCAAGACCAATTTATTCCATGTTTTGCCACTTCAAACATGAATCAAATTGTCACAATTCTGCCACTAATGAATTGAAAAAAAATCAGCAAGGGACAGGCGAAAGGAAGAACATCACTCAACAACTTTTCAACCATGGTCACCCAAATTTAACGTGTTGAGCCATAAAATACATGTTCAAAATGCTTGACTAAAATACAAGAACCGACTACAAGTTCATTTGGAGTTTCATTAATTGAATTATTCGTATAATCAACTCGTTACCATAGCTTTCACTGCATCAAGCTCTTTAATTCAAGCATCAAACTCTTAAATACAAACCAAAGAAGAATGACGATGTAACAATTAACCAAAAATTACTCGTTATAAAATTTGTTGTTTGAAGTTAAAAATCAATAAAAATTTCTCATAGCCAAAATACTTCTAAAAAATGCAACTATGTACATTTTGTTCAGTACCTACGCCAATCCCACTAGTGGGGACAGTGGTTGTTATCTTCTGATGAACCCATGCGTGAGTACACAAAAGTTACAACTAAAGTCAACTGAAGTTTGGAGTCTTTCTATCATGCAATCATCACATAACGCATTGTAATAACAACAACAGACAAAAATAGGAAATTGAAGAGACTGACATTTCTTTGATAATAGAATTAAAATGTATCATAGCATTGACTTTAAGTACATGATCATGATACTGAACCCTAATTACGACTGTGAACTAATCTAAACCTAGTGAGAACAAAATAAGAATTCAGAAACTAATTATCAGAAAGGGATGTGGTTTGGGAAACATCCTATCCAATACTAAAGCCCAACTATGCAAAACATTCATTCCCACATCCACCTACTCTTCATCTTGTATCAAGAACTTCACTCGTCATCTTCATCGTCCTCCTACAAAACACAAACAAACATGACATCAATTAAACAAATAACCAATCAAAGTCACAAATCAAATCAATTGATTAATCAAATCAACCTACCTCATCTTCCTCATCATCATTGACTTCAGACTTTGACTTGTCAGACTCATCTTCCTCAGAATTCTTTCCCTCCTATCACATCCAAAAATCAAATTCAATCAATTATTCGTAACAACATATGAAAAAGGTAAAGCAAAAGGTACATAGAGTAAAGAGTAGTTACCAATTTCTTGTTGTAGGACAAAATACTTTTGTCATACTCTTCTTTCTTCTTCTCTGCCCTAGCAACAAAGGGAGCCTTCTCCTAAAACATCAAATTTACACAAACTTGGTTAAAAAAATAATCACCATTAAATTTGCATACAACCATCAACAAATAAATAATCATTAAATTAACTTTGAACAGCACAATACTCACAGCATCAGACATAGATTTCCACTTTTCACCACCAGCTTTACCAACCTTAAATATTGTTTACAGTGAAACCCTATTAATAAAATTCCAAAAAAACAAAAATAAAAATAAAACAGCATAAATGAAGCAAAATAACTCACAACAGCGACAGATTTGTTGTTAGGATGTTCCTTCTTGAACTGCTCCCTGAACTCAGACCTGCAACAAAAACAATAAAACAAAAATTAACAAACATAAACAAAAGAAATAACAAAAAAATAATAATAATAAAATAGGTCAAAAATTCATACATGAAAACAAAGAAAGCACTTGGAGGTCTCTTCGGCTTGTTAGGATCCTTAGCAGCTTTCTTCGATTGCTTCCTTCCGGCACCGGCGCCCTTGCGCTTCAACCTAAACGACACATCGCAACAAAACACAAAAAAACACTAAACGACAGCAAACGGACAAAAACGCAGAACGCAAATCGGAGAAGAACAACGCCAGATCGGACAAACCAGATCTGAAACGCCGCAAAAATATAATAATAACAACAATAATAAAATAAAGGAATAATCGATTCCAAGACGAAATCGAACACATAAAAAGACGTTACCGGTTGTCGGTGGCTTTGGCATCGGCTTTGGCCTTCGGCATGGCGAGAATCGAAGAGAACGAGTGACGAAGATGCGAAGAACGCGAGGGTTTTACACAGAGAGAAGAGAGTGCGTTGCGTTGTGTTGTGAGGTTTGGGCGCGGGAGTGAGGGAATAAGAAGGGGTTGTGGGAGGGGCAGTGTAGAGAAAACAATAAAATTGGAATAGCCCAAAATATTGAAGATTTGGGTTTACGCGGGATTTCGACGATATATTTGTCCATGTCAGCGATCCGTGTGACACAGTTTTATTGGCTCTCGCGTGCGCTTTGGAAACCCCTGTGTTTCCTTTGTGTGTGGGTTTGAGAGATGAGGCTAGTTCCTTTGCGGAATGAAGATTGTGCGGTGTGCTTTGGGAATTTTATGCCACGTGTCAGTGCATAACTCGGATGACATTCTTAACCTTAAGGGTGTTTGGGATTTTACCAAGATACCACGGAATTAAGAGTAACGCGCCACGCGAAGTTGGTGAGGAGATATTTTGGACTTCTGAAGGGTACTTTTGTAAATTTTTATTTCCTTTTTTTTTCCTATAATTTAATGATTTGATAATTTTATGATTCTTACTTGTTTTTGGATATGACTTGGTACACCCAAATTTAAAATCAAAAATAAAATCCATTAATTAGTTATCTTTATCTTTTTTATTATTGTCTTGCATGAGCATTTTACATCAATTGAATATTAAATATTGAATACAATTAATATTTTATATATATATATATATATATATATATATATT